CCTCCACTTCTAGTGTATTGCACCCCACCTCCGTTCACCACTATAAAATGCCCTTGGTCCTTTCTCTTCTTCTTCATCCCCATTTCCCTCGCATCCGGAGTAGAGCTACAATATCCAGTCGACATTGTGAAGCTAGGTTCGTTAGTCTGAGGTGATGGTGTAATCCAAGGAGAAGAAAGGATCTAGTTCGTCGAAGAAGTTCAAGTTCCCTTTGGGGTAGTCAATCTTAGGGTTCACGATGTTTTACTTTTTAGTCGACTGTTTCTGGATTTGTTGGGCCTACACCATGTTTTGGATACTCATTATCTTGTTGTTTCTCCATTGTCCTCATCTATCTCGACTTCTGGATTAAGTCTTGGTTGTACTAGGTTGCTCTGAACCATGTATCCCTAGATCCCCATGTGGTTTAGTATTCAAAGTCGTGTAATCTTTGTGTAATCCCAGATCTACGTAATGTAATCGCGTTGACCTCTTCTGGTTCTTGCTTCAAATCTCGGGACGAGATTTTTTTTAAGGGGGGTTGGTTGTAACACCCCTGATGTTACAAGCTCGTTTAGCACCACGATTTAGGCCTAAGTAAAATTTTTGAAACGAGTTTCTCAGAATTTTTGATTTAAAACATACTTGAAGCGATAAGCGAATCCTGTGTAACTTAGTTTTGTGGACTCAAATAAATGCCTAAGTTAAATCACTTAGTGTGTAAAAGTATTTAAAATGTCCGATAACGATTCTAACAAGTAAATGACGAACGGCTTGTTCTATTGGATTGAGCATCAAAACAATTTTTATAAACCAAATAAAATATAGCTTGTAATTCATACTTAGATAAAAGTTTGAAGTACAAGTTTAGTAGATAAAAATGCTATTTTTGGCGTTTGAATCCTAGCAAAATTTTCTAAGTCTTAGTTTCGTGTTTTGGTACGATTTGTTGCATCAAAGTGTGTACTTGAGCCTTCGTCGCATTAGTAAGTTGTTTTCGGTTTGTTTTTAAAATGCGTGTGTGCCATCGTTTCGGCCAGCCCGGCTGCTGCCATTGTCCTTCACTCTTCCTCTCCTACGCTAGCATCTTGTCTGAATTTTAATGGGAGCACTTGGCTCTGTCGTGTCCACGCCCCCGCTATGCGTCACCGTCCAACTGCTGGTTCTGTCGCTTCACCTTGCAGCACATTGGATGCCTCTGCTGCCTTTGCTTGCCTTGCCTGCCTCTGCTGGCTGTCATGGTTGAGTTTGGACTAGCAAGCGAACTGATTGACGGGACATCTCCCTGCCACTGCTGTCTCCTGCCTACTCTTCCTCCCATCTCTCACTTGTTCTCTTTCTTTAATCCTCTCGGTTTCTCTCTCGTGTTTCCGTCCATCTTCGTCGCCGGCCGTCGTGTGCGAGCGCGCGTGTCCCACAGCCGCGCCGGACCCCCCCGACTCCACGGTGCCGCCCCTTCCGAGCATTTTCCCTGCGGTCCGTGCGCTGTGGCTGTGCCGGCGCTCCGCCGTCCCGTGCCGTGTCTTCGCCATAGCCACGCTCTCGCTCGCTCTACGGGCCGTGCTGAGCCCCTCGCACGCCTCACTTTCACTGCTGCCACCCGTCCGTGTCCATGCTCCACCATGCCCTAGCCACATCGTCAGCTACCGCTTTCCCTCCGCAGTCAGCGCGCCACGGTCATGCTGGCATATCGCCGTCGCCACGCTGTGCTCCCGTCCGGCCGCACCCATGGTCTACTGCTCCGGGCAATCTCCTGCAGCACCTGCGGCTGTTCCCGCGCAATGGCGCCCTCCTTTTCCTCCACGCGTCGCACGCCGCTGGGCTGCCGGCTAGCCACAGCTGCTCGCCCCCACGGCCGCTGCTGGCCATGCCGCTCCTCCTGTCGTCGTCTGCACCGGGAACCGCCATCTGGTCGTCGTGCCATGCTCCCGCCTGCCGTTGCCTGGCCACTACGCGTTAGCGCGCACGTCCTCGGTCCGCACCGTGTCTCCGCCATGGCCGCGTCCGCCGTCTCCCAGCCCCTACTTGCCCTCCACTCCGTGGACCCGTGCCGCTCCACCTTCGTGCTCAACCACCGCTGCGGCCATCGCACCAGCCCGCCGGTGCCGACCCTTCCCCACGCGCGAGTCCCTGGTCCGCTCTGGTCTACTGCTCCTCCCATGGGCCCACGCCCACAGCCGCCGTGCCTCACGTCCGCGTCGTCTGGAGCCGCCCTGCCAACGCCGCTGCGCGCCGGGGTAGCCGTGCCGCATCCCCGTTCCCGCTGTGGCCGCGCCACTACTGCCCTCGCCAGCCGCCGTGCCGCAACCACCCGCCGGTGCGCCATGGCCGCCCTCGCTGCCCTGCGCATCGCCTCCGTCGGCGTCTGGTTCCGTTCGCCTCCTCTGCTCGGTATTGAGGGGAGAAGAGGAAAAGGGGTCTCTTCACAAAATAGAATTGCCTGCCGTTGGGCCGTCCGCGCTGCCAGCCCTGCTGGGCCGCGCGTTCATCTCGACAGGCCTGGTGCCGCGCGCCCCGCGTGGGTCGGCCCGCTCCGGCTGTGTCCTGCCGGTTGGCTGCTTGGGCCGGCCTTGTGCCGCGCGTGCCTGGGTCGCGCTCGCCGGTAGCAGGCCACGCTTGGGCCCCGCATCTGCATGGGCCACCGGTCTCGCTAGACCGCCGCGCGCCCGGCCGCCTGGGCTGCTAGGCCAGTTTAGATGCCGCCGACCCATTTTCATTTTTGAGGTATTTTCTAATTTAATGTTGTAGGCAAACTTGTAAAATCAATATATAATTGTGTAGGTGTACAACAATGGTGAAACCAATTTTGTTAGTCGTCTAAAATCATGATCTAACTGCTAGTGTATTTTGTTCACATAGTTTGATAATATTCTTGAAAATTTTATAATTAATTTGAGATAATTAATATTGTAAAAATATAAACTTGTAGGAATTATTGTGATAAATTGGTAATAGTGTTGGATCTAAAATTTTTACAGTAGGCTTCTAGCAATATTAGGTACTCACTATAATTTTTGTAGCTCCAAAATAATTAGTTTGCTAAATAGATAATGATGTCCTATTGCGAATAAAAATTAAATTGATAGAATAGAATAAAGAAACAACTTGGTTTTGTATAACTAAAGTATTTGTTGGGAAATGACACCTTTCTCGATGATGTTGATACGTAGACCAGCGTTAGAGCTATCTCGTTAGCTTGTGAGGCGTGATCGGATTTCTAAGCATTTCGGCTGTCGTTGGTAACTTACATCTATGCATTTGCATCAATGCATATCATATAGGTACGATGATGGATCGACGGATTAATTGAAGGATGATTGGGAATCCGAAGATGGTGTAATGGTATTCTCTCCAGGAGATGATGCAATGGGCTTTCTATTTAGATGATGGTGGATGATTTGAAGATGCAGATACTAAATTTTTAATATATATCTTACCCAGGCAAGCCCCAGTGCATAACACATACTTTTCTACAGTTTAAATTATATTTGTGCATTAAGTTTTAAAGAGTTGAATGAAACCCACTTGCATATATATATCTTTATCCTATGAGTCTTACTAGTATGACAGGATCGGGTAGATTGCTATGCTACAGGAACCGATAGAAGTCGGATGATTGCCTGTCACTCGCGAGATATAGGAAATATGTTACTATATCCTTATCACTTAGAAAATATAAATAGTGGAAAGGAAAAATAGTGACCGGGCAGGGATATGGTTTGGGTATTGGTGGGTGTAAGAGGTTATGTCGCCGTGGATGTGGGGCATGGCTTGGTTACACTGCTTTCCCTATCTGTGTCGGTTAAGGACCGGTCATTGCATAAGCCATCGAGGCAAGTCACAGACTTATTATCCCGAGCACATACTTGGGTATGGGCGCTTGGAAGACTTGTTGCTCTCTTATTGTGGGTTCCGGCTGTTTTTGGACCGACTGTCAGGGTTTCTTTTTGGTGGAGGAGGTCCTTGCACCGCACTGAGTCCGGGACTCAGGAGCGGGGGCTTGGAGTCCCAGTTTGGACGGGGACCTAGGACCCCAGGACAGGAGGATGATGGGTTGGTCCTGCTTGTGCCTTGGGTACAAGCGGGGCGTGTAATTTTGGGGTAACCAGCTGGGGGCATTGATTCGCGAATCGCCGGGCGATCCGGTACGGCTTGTTTCGTGCCTAGCACCGTAGTAAGAACCGAAAGATGAAAGATGAAATGGAAAAAGGAAATCTGATTGCTTACCACCTGCTTGAAAGTAGCACATGTGCTTATATAGAATGGTTAGTTAATGAACCAATGCGGCTATCAATAAAAATTGAATATAAGAACGCACGCTTAGTAATGTTTCCTACAAATACACTAAACTCATAAGCCAGATAGCCTTGCATATCCTTGGAGTCTTTTCTTTCCTCCTGTCGGGTAAGTCTTGCTGAGTACAATTGAGTACTCAGAGTTTATTCCCCTGTTGCAGGTGACAGGTTGATGCTAAGGCTGACCCTTGTGTGTGGATACCTCCTAGTGGGCTCAGCGATGATTTCTTTACGCTGCGATCGTAGTTGTTATTTATAACTCTCACCAAATGCTTTTATAAATGAAAGTTTCATAATCTGTTGTCGTAGTTAATATATGAATACATCATCATATCATGATTAGATATTTATTTCCGCTGTAATTCTGATCACATGTTTATATTTCGCTGTTACATTAAATTGTTCATAATTCTGATAATATGATTACATTCTGCTGTTATAATAATAAATGTTATACTCTGATGTACATGTAAAGTGATGTAAGAAATGGTTAAGAATGATGTAAGCTTTATTATCTCATTTGTGATCCTGATGGAAAAATATGGATTTTCGGGTTCTCCCTTGGGTGTGCCTGACGGAACCGAGTAATTTGGTGTTCTCCTTTGGTTGCTTAGTGTCTAATGGAAGACGAGCACTCCTGTGAGACATTAGATTAGGCGGTTCTGCCACAGCAGCTAAAAAGGCAGCTAAAAGGGCCGCTCTTGCTGCAAAAGACAAGTCAAGGCAATGGGTGATGATGGAAAATTGAAGGAATCCGCAATTGATGTGGGAAAGCTTGATAAATTGAGCAAGATCCAAGAAGCTAATGCAAACCGCATGAAGGTGCTAGAATTGCAGCAAAAGTTGTCTTTCGATAAGATTGAGACCACAAGGCTTGCCCATCTAACAGCGCAGGAGAATAGAGAGTCAGAAAAGCTAGAGATGGAGAGGAGGAGGCTTGAGATGGAATCAAAGAAGTTTGAGATGGAGGGGAAGAAGCTTGAGAAAGAATCAAAGATGATGGAAGCAATAAGAACCTCATCTCACAAGACACAAGTTCAATGACCGCTGACGAAAAGGCTGAGCGAGTTGCTGCCATGAAGTGTTTGAGGAAGATGCTTTTTCCTAAAGTTATATAATTTGGTATGTGTTCTTCTCGTTACTTTTTTTTGAAATTTTAATTCATGTAGCTGATGGCAATTTTGCTTGTTTCTAAAAAAGTGACAAGTCATATCTCCTTGAGCCGCTGCAGTTCAGATAAAACAAATTAGTATCCTGAAGTTGGGATAAAACAAATTAGTCTACAATTTCTACTATTCTGAAATCTAAATCCCTGTGACTGATTTTGCATGCTGCTACTTTTTTGAAATTTCAGTCATTGTCAAAGGACACTAGTTCTGAAAATTATGGGTTCAGGTTCAGGAAAGTTATGCTTTTTCCTGACTTTTGTATGAATGTTCAGGTTCATTTGATATAATTTATTATGTATTAAGCTGAATGCATTGTTGTTCTGTAATTAAAGTTCTCTAAAAATAGCTTATTTTTTGAACTTCCGAAACTAGCTTTGATTCTGTGAGGCCATCAGGCAGGTCCCATGCGGATCCAGAAAAGGCTCTTCCACTGCGATCCTGTTGGATGGGTGGGATGTTCTGGAGACGATACATGATGAAATTTTTTCGGCTACTCAGGATGGCGCCATTGCTGAGTATGATCATTTAATGTCCTTGGACAGTTATTGTTGGTTTCTCATTATGTATTATGTACGAGCTTCTTATACATGTTTTTTATTTGTAAGAGTCATAGTAAGGGCGCGTTTAGATCTCAAATTTTTTTGGGTTTGGGTACTGTTTGGCTACTGTAGTATTTTTGTTTGTATTTGTTAATTAGTGTATAATTATGGACTAATTAGATTTGAAAGTTTCGTCTCGCGATTTCTCACACAACTGTGCAATTTTTTTTTCGTCTACGTTTAGTACTCTGTGCATGTGTCGCAAGATTCGATTTGACACTTTGGAGTGAAAATTTTTAGAATCTAAACATAGCCTAACATGTCATTCTGCTGTACCGCTGACAGGATTAACACTGTTGGGGAGCTGACCTCTAAGGAGAATGATGGAAAAGATAGCCGCAAGACCAAGGTGAATTAATGCATTATTACAGGCTCATGCAGTAAACCCCTGTTTTTTGTGTGGAAGACATCATTTACAATTAAGCGCTGTGTGTTGTCATACTTGAAGTCAAATTTTTGTATCTTTGACCATCATTATGTTCATAATATGCAACTCTTTTCATTATGATGATATGCTTTTGTAGATACTGCTAGTCAATGATATCGGAGGCGATGTCGATGCCCCAATGTACTTGTATTTGGGATTAGAGGAAGTTATAAACATTTTAATTGAGTCAGCTTAATAGCCAGCTAGCAATATAGTTGGTTCTACTATTGGTCATTCATACCAAGCATGGTCTTATCCAGATTTGTTTAAATGCAATCTATACCTTCACACATTTAGTTGACTATGGGTAGACAGCAGGTTATGCATTTTATTTTTATTCTTATCATGAATTAGGCATCGGATAACCAAAGAAAAGGGCAAAGGCTTGGGAATTAGGAATCTTAAGAGAGAAAAGCTTGGAATAGCTTGAAGGAATTTATGCAAGCGCTTGGTTGTGTATTCAATACATAATTTTGTTTTACAAGACACTGCATACAGTCAGTTGAAATGCCCTATCGCATTTAGTTGACTCTGGATAGACTGCAGAATGTGCTGTTTATTTTCTTTTCATTCTTTTCATGATGTAGATGTAAGCATCTGGATACCTGAAGAAAGATTTGTTCAGCTTTGTGAATTAGGAATCATAGAGACAAAAGCTTGGAATAGCTGATAGAGATATATAAAAGTTCTGGAATGCGTAGTTCATACACCATTTTGCTTTACAATATGCTGCGTGCAGGTGTTTGAATGCCCATTTCATGTATCATTTTCGTTGACAAGATGCCTGATGGCATATATTCTCCCCTTTGTTTAGTTTGTTACTAGATTCAATCAGTTTCTGTATATATGGTGCCAGGCAAATAATGCTATTTCTGTGTACATAATGGCAGCCTAAGGAAGGCTGCAACGGGGATCAAGTCAATTGACTAGCGATGCCCAGGAGGGATGGAAGACGTACTGGAATTGGGATATCATGTTTGTATTCAAATGTTCCTCCTCGGCTTGTCACGGACTCTCTTCGTTCTAAATTATAAGTTACTTTAACTTTTTTTTTGTTACATCTATTTTACTATACATATAGATATGATAATATGTCTAGATATATAGTAAAATGAATGAACCAAAAAAGTCAAAGCGTCTTGTAATTTTGAACGGAGGGAGCAGTAATGTTTCCTGCTGATCTGCTGCGATTATGCGAATGGGTGATGTACTGTTGTTGCGTCACAGGTGGGCCTAGTTCATATTTGACCCGAAATTATTCAAGCTTATGCGGTTGCCATGGTGGAATTTTTAGGTTTCGGTTCAGTTGCAGTTTAGAACTTACTACCACGTTTTCAAATTATTGAAGCTTATTTTGTTTTGTTATTAGAACAAGCCTTTGATCAGCAATTATACTTCTATTATTAATATAAATTTTTTATCACGCAAAGTTAATTAATGCCTAAGTGTTGTCCGTGGGTGGGCACCCCACCGATCCGTGCACGGCCATCATCCACGGATCCACCATACGCTGCCGCTGGTTTAACCCCCCTCTCAATAAACTACGTAAAATATCATCTCTTATCCTCCCTTTTAGCCACGGGAAAAAGACAAAGCAAGCTATGGCTTTCACGGGTAAAATATCATCTCCAGCCTCAAGTGGTCATTGGTCAAAACTCACAACTCGAAAAATATCCTCGATTTATCTCTCGCCTCTCACTGATTTTTTTCACCTGTTTTCTACTCAGTGCACTGTGCACCTTTGGTGGTATCGTGGTTTACAATAAATGGCAGGGAGGTAAAACAGGCACTGCGTCATCCATCCCACTACGGCCTCAGAGAAAAAAGCATGGCACATGTGTACATGTGGAAACAAGCGACGAGGCAGAAAACAATGGAATTTACGTAAAGAAGACAATCCAAACTGTTAAAACCATTTACGTTTGTATATCTCGTTCGGCTGACCTTAAAAGCGACACTATTCAACTTATTTTTTTAATCGAAACAATATTTTTCTCTCACAACAATTCAGCCAGAACAGTATTTTCAGCCAATTTCAGCCAAACGAACGGGGCCTAGTAGCTTTTTTGATGGGTGGTTTTGCTCGCGTGAAAGACAAGTGGCAATGTACCCAAATGTCATCATTCCTTTTCTCTCCCTTGTTTATATCTCTCCCCCTTAAGCTGTTCAGCTGATGGTTTCTACGGCTGCTAAGCCGGCTGAAGCTGATTTGATGTGAAAGAAAAACACTGTACCTGGCTGATAAGCCAGGCTGATAAGTTCAAGCGAACAATCGATCGCCGCCTCCACATAGTTCGTTGGTCACCCATCCTCCTCCGCCTGTCAGTTTGGTTGCTACCATTCCCTCATCGTATCCATTCCCTGCACAAACTATACGTCCCTTCACGAGTGTTAGGAACTAAGGAGCTGAATAGAGGAGGGGGAGGAGGAGAGATGAATAGTCTTTTCTAAGTTTTAACTGCGCCGGCTAACCGAAACAAATACGAAATTAAACCGATCGATCTAGCCAAGACTATGCTCTTTATCTTTCACAATCACCTTACAAAGATCCTAAGCATGTTAAGTCTAAGGCGCCGATCTAGAGGGAGCCCACCTAAACAATTCTAGTTAGCAAGGTCAAACAAACATATGGAACTAGTCAAGCAAGCACAAACGAACTCCACATACTAGTGAGCCAAGTACAAAGCACAAACTACACTAGCACTACTCACTAGTTACACTACACAAGCTAAACTAGAGAGCAACTAATTAGCTATACAAACTAACAAGCTAACTAGCACACAAGAGCAACAACTACAACACTAGCACAAGTAATTAATCAAGTAGTGCAAGCTAGTGTAGGAGATTGCAAACCAACGGGAAGACAATGTTCGCATAGTGATTTTTATCCCTGAGGTCCGGTAGTTTATTAACCACTTAATCCCACTTGAGGCAAGGCCAAGGTTTCCGCCACACTTGATCAGGATAAACCACTTGGCGCTCTTCACACCTCACTTCTACTAGAGTTGCTCTTTGCAATCTCCCACGGGGCGAGCACAACACCCCTCACAATATGGTCTCTCCGGAGCACCGCACAACCTCCGTGCGTGCTACGCCGGAGTCCTCGAGCCTCCAAACCATCTAGGAGGTGGCAACCTCCAAGAGTAACAAGCGCCACCAACTTGCAACACGAACACCTAGTCCTAGTGCCACTCGATGCAATCGCTCAACGCAACACACGAGGAATCACTCACTCACAATCAAATGCTATATCAACTAAGAATATGTGAGTTAGAGGGCTAGAACACTTCTCTAAGGGTGGACACAAAGTCCCCAAGCTACCTTCCAAATGGCCGGCCACCCCCACTATTTATAGATGCAGGCCTCCAACTAGCCATTGAGGGGCTTCAACCCGTGTAGACACCTCGTAGCGGTTAGACCCCCTATCTCCGATGGCTACCGCCCGCGCCACCAACAGTCACCTGCATCGATCAGCCCCACGAGTTAGCTAGTCCAACAGGCCACTTCATTGGTCCAACCATTAGGCAAAACTTGCGCCACCAGAGAGGTTCGGCCCACCACCGGATTGGTTCAGCAGGCCACACTGAATCAAGCACCACCAACATTTGAACCTCGACCATCTCCCACACGGCTCAGCACATAGGCCGGTCCAACCAGCACCCACCATGGTTGGAACGCCCGGCCTCCACCAGAGAAACCCTGATCATGAATGGTTGCTACACATGATCCAGTGGCCCCGCACATCAATCACTTGATCAATTTGGTCTAGCGGTCAGACTTCCATCAGGGCCGGTCCAACTGCTAGGTAACACAACAACTACCCAAGCTTCCCTACACGCGCCTCCTTCT